AAGAGATGAAAACAAAACAATAATAACAATTTAACTAACACTAAAAGAAAAAAAAAAAGTCATGTGAATGAACAATAAAAAAAAGGTGTCAATCATCGAGAGACAAATCAACAAGAATGTTCTACCTTGTTTTTTATTCTCTTGTCGAACTAAACGTCGATATTTCATAATATTAATAAAGGAAAAAAGAGGGAGAGAGAGAAAGAGAAAAAGGAAAAGGACACGGTAGATGATGACAACAAAAACAAGAAAAACAACATCTGCAGGGTGTCTGACAGAGAGATAAATAGATGCCACACAGAGATACAGGATTAAAGCAACTATACAGAGATTAGTGTCAAGCGACACAAGATGCGCTTAGAAATGTTGACTTATGGAAAAAGAAATTAAGATAAATATATATGATTCTCATTGATAATGATGATAATGACATAAAAGAGAAGATTTCACTACCTGTCTGCTGACGACAATGAAATGAGAGTATCTTTCTCTTTATTGTTTCTTCAAGACGATCAAAAACAATTGCCGATCGTTTCTTCTTTTCCGATTGATGAATAAGAAAGAAAAAGAGAAAAAATAACCGAGAAGAATAGACTTTTTTGCTTGTGTGATGACATTCTCAATCCATATTGCATAGTTTATATCTGTTTGCATGTCTATTTATATATATATATATATGTGCGTGTGTTCTTCATGAGAAAATCTTTGCAAATTGCTTAATTCTCTATGACACTTAGACGAAACTGAATATTGTCATAAAAGAATAGTCGTATAAACAAATTTTTGGGCAATTTTGTCAATGTTAATGTAGAAAAAAGGAATATTGATAATGAATAGTTTGAAGCTGTCAAAAAAAATCAATTGCTTGTTTAATAAGAGAAAAAGAGGCTAACTAATAAAATCTTATATCTACTTTGATAATATTTATCTTTGAACAAGTTTTTTTTTCTCGTTCATTACTTTTTTTATCATTAGATTTTGAATAAGATTTATTTTTATTTTAAAATATAATTTAATAAAAAAAAAAATATTTTGAAATAGTTTTATTATTTTTATAAATAATAACTATTATAATCTATCTGTAAATAATTAACTATTGACAGATGATCAAGTTAAACAATTCTAATAGAACATATTCCAAGAATTTCTTAC